TTTCCTATTCCAGTAATTCTACTTAAAATCTCTCTCTCATAGCCACCATGGATTTTCTATTCCTTACATTGTATTTATATCATAAGCAATGCACAACCATTTTTATTAGCTTATTCCATGAACTTAAAACTGTACAGTCCTTAATTACTTCAAAAATGCCAATTTCTAAGAAAATGAATTTCTAGAAGGCTTGACCTACTACTTATGCTTTTAAATTATATGGCAGCTATTTTTAATACAGAAAAATACACACACATACACACTGGACTAATTGTACTCTTCCATTTAATCATCTTAAGCAGATGCTTGAGTTTTCATATAATTTATCTTCTTAGAAACATAATAGTTTCAAGAAATGTAAAATTAGAGGAATAAAAACAAGATTCCTTCATCCTAAAATAATGTAAAGTTGTACCACTATATGAGTAATAAGGTTAGTTGCATATGAAAATAGAGAAATATAGGCCACTATTATTTATATAGTATATGTTACTCAAAATTACGCAGTGTAAGTTACATTTAAGTCTGATTTTCTGAGACAGAATTTTCTATCACAAAAGCAATCCAGTCATTAGAATTTGAGATTCTATCATATATTTGATTCTAGTACATTTATGTATGTGCTATATTATTCCTATCACATAAAGAGAAAAATATAATTGGTATAATTATAGCATTCCACTTTTTTCACCAATCCCCAGCCACTGTTACTTTTCTCTTTTCCTACTAATGATAGAATGAACCAGCGAAGGATTTGACAGATCTCTCAGAATTATCTTGCCAAACTAGATAGATCTCCTGAGCTCTAAACATATTCCAATTCCCCTTTTTTACATTTCTTGGAGTGGCTTACAGAGATTTTGAGCTTAAGATACATAAAACAGTTCATTTTCTTGGAACTATTCTCTTTCACATATTTTAACTTATTTAATGCATCCATTCCTTGTCCATTTGCCTATGCCAGCCTCCTATACCTCTCTCTATTCCAGTAACTCTCTTGAACCCACCAGTCCCTTCCTTCTCTGAGATCACAGATCTGCTCATCTTTTCCCCTGGACACTGGTACCAACATGTTGATTTGTCTAGCATCCTTCCAAGATTCTAGTCACCTCTGACCCAGGCATGTAGACAGTCTTTCTAAAAGCACGTTTGACGGCAGCTCCCCACCTCCTGCAACCTCATCCATAGCTTTAAGGGCTTTCTTTCTACTCTTTCTCCACGTGTGCCTTTTTTCACTGTACAAATGGTCTCTCAGAGACATCACCAGTGGCTCTCCTAGCAGGTATGCTCGCAGGCTGGTTCATCTGATGGGAATGACCACCAGACCATTTTACTCCTTCAGACCCCTGCTTCTTCCGCAGTCATTGCTGATTGCCCATTTCATAAGCACTCCTCTGCTCTCATTTCTTCTTCCAATTTTCACATGTACCTTTCTCCTAGAATTTACTATCTCAACCTGTGAGGGTTTATTTCTTGGTGTCCACTCCTTTAATACTACATTGGGAGTACCCTAAGAACAAGGCTTTTCTTTTAGCTACTTTCTTACCTAGTAGCATATCATTTATGGATTCTCTAAGTATCCATGGGCTCAATAAATATTTATAATTGACAATAAATGAAAGAAAGCAAAGATATGGAAGTACTACTGTGACTTTCCAAAATTCCCATTCATTAGAAACCATCATGATTGCCCAAATTTCCTATACACTGCATGCTTTTCATGACCCAGCCTCACAGGCTGCAAAGCATTACTTCTATTGAACTTAAGTTTGTCTAACCAAATTCAAGATAGAGAGCCACATACCTAAATTACTATTTAGCATCCAATAATTGAAGGCCATTTTAAAATCAGTCATCATCAGAGAATGCTAGTGAATCAATTCATTATTCTGAAAACATAAAAGAAACTATTCTTTAAAAGCATACTCAAAATTATTTATGAGTAAAATAACATAATATCTGGAATTTGTTCCAAAATGAAATAAGAAAAGATGTCACAGGTAGGGAAGAATGTAAGATTTTTTTCGTGAGAATCTTTTTAATAGTAGAGTAATGATACTTGGAGGCTCATTATACTATTTTGTCTTCTCATCAAAAATACTTACTTAAGAAACACTGAGCTAATTCCCTAAATAAATAAAACCTCCTAGGTCAATTCCACAGGGTACCCTGTGATTTTACCCAGTAACTCAGCACCACCTGACACGTGTGACTTTTCACCTACATTTATCCTGCATAAACTACATAGGAGGGCTGTGATTTCACACAGTATCGCAAGTCTCTATTTTCCCCCCAGAATTCCATGTCCTATTCTTCTGGGAAAAGTTATTCAGTCAATCATATTTATGAACCGTGCCCTGCATGCCTCAAGTTCCCTGCTGTGTCCAGTCAGCAACGTCCACTATTCATCATTTCCAGTGGTCCTTCCAGCCCTTGCTCATCTACTTTATGCCCTATACAGTAGACTTGTTTGGAATGCAGCAGTGAAACCTGGTTAAAACTTCAAAGGCAGCCAGCCCCAGAAGATCTGGTGGGGAGGGGTTGTATTTATATCCATGCTGTCTTCTTGACTGGTTAGACAGAATGGGAGCCTTCTCTTAGCTGGTATCACTCCTACTGGATGGTTACTTTCTGAGTAGTTCCCTTTCTGCTTTAGGTGATCATTTCTTTGTCTTTGTGTCAACAGCTCAGGAATGGCTGTTTCTCATAAACTTAGCACACTAAGAGTATGGAATTCCTCTATTAAAGTCTCCTCTGCTTATTGTTCCTATCTGCCTCAATCTCCCCTGTTCAGATATTAATTACACAATTGTTGACAAGACTGCCAAAACCAAAAAAGATTAGACCAAGAACTTGGCCCAGACATAGAACAAATGTCAGAGAAATTGAAAAGCTGAAAAACGGAAAGCATGTGCAATAGTCCTGGGATATAAAAGAAGTAAAGAGTGATCAAACCTAAGCTTGATGATGAGCTACTCAAGCAAGAAAGCAAAGATGCAAGTGACCAAGGCTGGAGAACCAGAGAGAACTTTGATTAAAATCAAATAAGAATTTAACTTTTGATCCTAAAAGCAAGCAAATCCCCCTAGATTCCAGTCCTACATAAGGGATCATCATCCTGGGACAATTACTGACAGTCCTCTGCCACACAGTCAGAACCAGGGAGCTCTAGTAAATGGTAATCACTTGAGCAATGTTGGCTGGAATAAATGGATGAGTAAAACACACAGGGAAACTTTTGAGCTTTTCCATTGTACATTAGCAATGGTTTTGTCACGTAAATAATTCTTCTTTGTACAAATCACTTCTCAACTTAATCCTCTTGACTCTTTGCTGTCTTCCTATTATGAGCATAAAGAGCAAGAGCAGTATCAGAGCTCCAACAATGAAAGTAAGTCAATCCCAGTCTTTCACATCCTAATAGCCACTCCATCCTAGGGCTGGTACATTTAACAGGGAACATCACCAAGTGACAGAGTCCTGCCACAGTCATCTGAGGTTATTCTGCTAACCTACTAATTTGAGGAGATTGGGGAAGAGTCGCATAACTAATAAGATGAATAAAATGAGATCAATTTGGGTTTATTTAGAATAAAATCTTTTCTGCTTTTACGCATATAGTACCAAAGACTATAGGTATGCTTTGTATTGATTAGCTCTACTGATAGATAGTATAACCTGATTTATACAAATATATATGTAATTTTTAATTAGTCCCCACTCAGTTAATAGTAAGTGGCAGTGACTAAAACCTACTTGAAACTATTTATATTATAAATTTATTTTTTTTTGTCTTTTTTTTCCTTTTTATCGGTACCGGGGATCGAACTCATGACTGCCTGCTTGCAAGGCAGGCACTTATGCCACTGAGCTAAATCCCCAGCCCCTATAAATTTATTTTTAATGCAACAAAATAAAATTAAAATATATAGCATTCCCAATATTGGTAGTGAAACAGTAAGGTCATGACAATGCTTCTACATAGAGGTATTTTATGATAAAGGATATGCCCATTTCCTTCATAAGGAAGCAAGATGAAGTTGAATGCAGATAAACAGTTTCATTTTAACTTAGTTATTGCATTCAACATCTCGGAAAACTGAAAAAGTGTGTATGACATAATACCTTTTCAAATTAGTATGAAACTTTGTATTTTCATAGAAAATTAATCAGAAAAATTTTCAAATGCTACTCATTTATTTTATTTATTTATTGTTTTTTTGAGACAATAAATAAATATGACATGGTTTTTCACTCTGCAGTGCAGGATGGCCTTGAACTTATTTTGTAACCCAGGTTGGCCTCAAACTCATAGCCTGTTTCAGCCTCCCAAGTTCTGGGATTACAAGCATGAAGCAACACACCCAACTCTCATTTACTTTTTTTTCAAGAGAAAAACCAAAAGAAAAAGAACAGAATAGAGTCAATCAAAAGTAAACAATGAAGACGGCACATGACTTCAAAACAAGATAAAAGGAAATCAATAATGGTCCCTTAATGCCTCTTGTTATCTTCAAAATAACTGTCCATACCATTAGGCATAATAAATCAAATTAAATACTGCAGAATAAAATGAATAAAAACAAGACTATTGAAGGAATACATGACATCCAAACAAGATAATACTAAACCAGCAGTGGCTACCATATGCTCTTGTTACCTTCAAAGTAGTTGCCTGTACCATCAGACATAATACAATCAAACAAAACAACAGAATAAAATCATCAAAACAAAACAATGAAAGCAATAGAGAGCTTCAAAACAGGTAATAAGAAATCAACAATGGCGACCATAATATATTTTGTTTTTGAAGCTCAAACAAATACATGAGTTTTCAGAGTGACAGGGTAACTTTGCAAGGTGTTTTTCCAGAACAATTCTATCCCGTATAAAGTTTTAAATTGATAAAGCAGGAAAAAAGTATACTAAAATTCAGTGGAATAATCTAAGTGTGACTTAAATACATATTTTTTTTTCAGTAAAACAGTAGTACTGCTCACCAGAGAGGCCATGGTAAATCCAATGACTTCAATGTAGCCATCATCGTGACGCTGAGGTTCAAAGTCATGATGATCCCCGGGGTTTCCCCAAGGCATTGTGCCAGCACAATATCTATAACACAAGGTTAAAAACACAATGAGATAGACTCTGTTCTCCTCATGAGCATCATTAGGGTTCAGCTGACAGTTAAGTAAAATTCATATCTGTATCAAAACTTCACATGGTATACCATAACTATGTAATTTAAATAATTTTGTTATTAGTTTAAAAATAAATGTAAAGACAGATAGTTCATAGTTAGACCTAGTGTTTACTAACTATGAGAATCATTTTCTGCTCTTGGTATGTGCCTTTCAACAAAAGAGAAAATAAAATTTTCATTCCCAAAATATCAACCTATGAAAAATGGGAAAAGCACACTGTGGTAACCAAATTCCCCTTAATTCATTATTTGCTAACACTTCTCACTGTGGAATTCATTTGTGTCTGTCTTCTAAAGAAGTCATATTCATGTAGGTGAAAAAGAAAAACTAGAAGGCTGATAATTACCACCTTACACACAATGAAGAAGTATCCATGAGAAAGGAGAAAGGAAGAAGAAAGGAGAGGAAAGAGCATGAAGATAGGCAATGATAACAGGAAGGTGAAATAAAAGAAATCAGAAAACCAGAGGGAAGAGAATACAGAAATAAGGAAGGATGGATAAAAACAGAAAGAATAGGGGGAAAAGAAAGAGAAACAAATTAAAAGCCCTAATTGCCAGTGTTTTGTGTGAATCTAGGCCATCTACTAAAGCTACACTGAAGTTATCTCTGTAATAACACTGACTGACTCTACTCAGCCATGCCAAGAATCCCTGCGAGGTGTGATGTGTTTCCCTACACATACATTTACATAGGACCCTCATTTCAATCAAACGTGGCATAAGAAGAGTTTAACTGTATACTTTCTATCTAGATTGTTTACTGGGCAAGTAACAGGGATTACAGGCCCATTTCTTGTAAAAGCTTGGCTTTCATGCTGAGAATCTAGCTTTATGCCACCAAGGTAACATGCTTATTTGAGACTTGAAAAACATTTCTTTATCCTGAAGAACATAGCAATACTAAAGAGAGGTAGCATACTAACTAACAATGCTGCTCTAATTGATTCTATTTTTTCAAAGCAATCATTGGGCAGAGATTCAAAGGGCAGGATGGTTTCCTAACAGCTTTGGGAGAACTGGGAACAGGCATTTATTTATCCACACTATCATTCTTGGAGGCAGAGAAGTGAGGTGGAGAAGGGCAGAAACTGAGAATTAAATGAAAATGTTTCTATAGTGAGAAGCAAGTGAGTTTCTTAAGGTTGCATGAGTCCAGACCATGAACTCCACATCACACACACAACCACCTACCACAGTAAATCATGGGGGAGAACAAATATTCAGAGCTGGAAATCTTCAGCAATCTGTGAGAACTGATTTCTTACTAGTTATACCTGAAATGTTCTGTTTGGAAAGCAGATTAAGCTCAAGTCAAGTCAAATCACAGAAATAATATGCACAGAGCTTACCTGGGTATATTTAAAAATACTATACACTGGAACTTCAGTTCCTGAATCTTTGGGGTGAGATCTGTTCCATCACACTGCAATAATGAAAGCAGAAAGGCAAGAGCTCTGAAGCAGTCACAAGTCTAAAACAGCGATCACAGATAGCTGGTGTTGACAACAGAATACAGTGTTCTTTCCATGGCAGTAAGTGCCAGTTAACATGACTATAAGTATGCTGATGAAACCTCAACTAGACCCAGATTTCAGGCCTTAATCTAAACAATTCTTTGCTTTGTTCTGGCAATCAAAGGAAATACTGTCATTTTTAACCTTGTATTACTGTTAGATATTTAGGTTTATTGTATTAACACTAAAATACATTTAAAAGAATGAGGCTTCAGTAGCATTTGCTACGACAACCATGTAATTCAAACAAGTCATGAAGTTATTTTTTTGGTTTTTCAAAATAATTTTTACTTTGAAAATGTTAAATCATGATTTGAACACAATTTAAACAATGTGTACACAGTAAATTTTGGAAGAGGTATTTATTAGAAAATAGTATCTTCACAGGCCATTCTATTTTTGCCATGCAGTGAAGTGAGTGTTTTGGATGTGCATAGTTAATAATGTCTCATAAATGTAAAATGTGTCTGTAAGTATAGACCTAGAAAACACACAACAACAGCAAGTGATGTGTTCTTACAAATTCAATCTTTTACAGATTTGGATTGGACTTCTGAGATGCACCTATTTTTCTGGAGTTGGGATATGGCCCTGGTCTCAAGGACCCCCCGCATCATGGCCTCAGTGCTTTTGCCTTGCAGCTTCCTGGATCAGTGAGTGTTGTTCCAACAGTGATGTCCTCTGAGTCATCAGAGAAAAGCCTTCCCCTCCCTTTCTCCTTCCCCCTGGCACCAAACATCAAATGAGGAAAATTCTAGTGAGGCCCATAGTTATCTCGATCTCCAAAGCACAAAGCCTGCTGTTCCACCGGTTTCCTCTCCTTTTGTCCCAGAAGTTCCTCACTCCCTTGTCTTCAGAAGAGAGTAAAACATTCTTGCAACCCCTATAAATTTCTCAAGATTTCTTTAGCATTCCAAACAAAATTATAAATGATTCTGCACCAGTCAAGTTTGTTTCTAAGCACCCACATTCTTTTCCCGGCTGATCTTGATACAGCCTGTTTTTCATGAGCACTCTCAAAAAACTTGTTTCCAGGAAATCATACAGTATTAAATAAGGTATTTTCCAATGTAACTCAGAAAGGAATCAAATTCTAGATAGCAACTGAAGGTGTTTTTAGATATTCTCAAATACTAAAGCAAATATAAAATGTCCCAACTTATTTAATGACTTCAAATGAGTTCGTGAATGACTGTGCCAATTAAAAAAACATTTAGACATTTTGAAGTTTGAAAGTGACTAAAATTTCAAAAAAGTAGAATGTGATACAATAATTGCAAGCAATGTTGTTGCATCACAGAAAACTGCTATAAAAAATTACTATATTTTGAATACAATTCATTTCTTAAATTTTGTACTCTTTCCTCCCAGAAATAAGTCAATGACTCTGGGAATTAACCAAATAATATAAAGATGTGCACCTTACAATATATAATGTTTTAACAAAGTTTTAAAACCTGATACCGCATTAAATTGCACTGTGCTTTAGAACAGCAGCTTTCAATGTTTTTCCCTTCAAGCATACACAAAGAAAAACATTTGCATGCAAAATACATTTCTGTCTACAAGTTCACAACTGACAAATCAATAACAAGAAAAATCTGGAGAATAAAGCAAATAGTACTGTATGAAAAAATTTTTATATTGTTTTGCACTTTCTTGGTCTAATATACACATTTTACATTCATTCGACTGGACTGAGTTTCCTCAGGATTAAAACTAATCTTTCTATGTAATTTTATACCCATTAAAGGCAGTAGCAACAAATGACAAGTACTCATGAACACTTGTCTGAGTGAACCACACCAACTGTTCTAAACTCTATAGAGTCCAGTGATTCATCTACATACAAACTGGTCCCTGGAACCTTACTTTTGTGATATTCATGTTTACATGAAAATGAAATGAATTATCCAATACTTACAACAACTTTAACATGTTTGGATAGATCTCTAGAACTTCTCTGTAGAAAATCAGAAAAAGCTGCCTATACCACCGGAAATAAGAAAAAAGACATTTCGAATTACATGGTTTTACAATTCTTCACTTCCATGCTGCAGCTAGTTCCAAGTTATGCAAAAATATATAGTGAACTGTTCTTTTTTCTCAATCCAAAATGAAGCAAGGGCAATGGCTATCAAAATGGAAAGCTTTCTTTGTTTTTAAAACATAACAGATAATAAAATTTAAATTTACAGAAAAAGAGGGTCTGTCTGGCAATTCATTCTCCTTCCCACTTTGGGCCCATTAATCCTTAACTTGCCACTAAAATTCTCCTGCTTTACACCCTTTTATTTTCTACCTGTAGCCAATGGTATCAACTTAAACTGTACTTTTAATCAATACTTAATGCCTTTCCCTTCTCTATCTATGGGGATCCTCTGAGGAAGAAAAGAAGAAGCTCTCTCATCTCATACATGCTTCCATGAAAAACTTCCCATGTTCTGCCACTTTCCCATCTGAATGTCAGTGTGACACTAGACATGCCATGGTGAGAGCTATATTCTAATCTAACACTGTTTATATGTCTTCCAGTCTACTCAGTGGTTCCCTTGCTACCCTAGCTCTGAGGTTTGTTTTTCACAACATTTTTGAATACCATCCATTCTTGTAAAACAAGAAATCTGGACTTTAAAATTCAAAGATGAAGAACATCAATTCCCTTTCCAGCTACTAATTTAAAAAATGAACTCTTACTTTCATTCTTAAATGAAGACACTGAACAATATATAAACATAAATATAAATGTGTGATGTACATGTCATTATTTGTAATGTATAGTATCCATTACTCAATGAATTGGCATTATATAATATATAATAATTATAAAACAAAAAAATATATATACTTACCCCAGCATAGAACATTTTATTTCGAAAACGACTATTGAATTTCTCTGGATTTGCTTCTGTGAAAGAGGAGAAGTCTTGTTCTAGAAATCTCTTTAAACATTAGCACATTGCATCCTAACCCATCTACCCTACAGATCTAGCAGACCCCACAGTTCATCTTTCCTTACACTCCAGGCCAGTTGCTACCTGTACAGCTCCCAGTGCTGCAACAGGTCAGCTATAAAGTGGCAGTACTGGATGTAACTGGGAGCGTTAGAATTACAAACCACCAAGCCCCACCTAGATTCCCTGAATCTCAAAGTTTGAATGGGAGTCTAGGAAAGGCAGTGCCATAAGCTCTCTCCATCGTTCTTACTCAAGGTAAGACTTACTGAAATTTGAGCCACCCTGGACTTTTTTTATAACACAGGTATTAGGGGGAAGTGTGATTATTTCCAATGACCATATAGCATGCAGCTCCAAATGTAACTGGGTATGGGAAATTTGGGTGACAATGAAGAATTTGCTTTAACGTTTTGCAAAACCTCAGAGCTACCATCTGCTCTGCTGGTTGTAACATGCTTTGCAAGAAATAATTTGTTTTCGTGAAGAACACACACACACACACACATACATACATACACACACACACACACACACACACGGCCTGCCGAATGGACTTGGCACATTACAGGAAAGGTTCTGGTTACAAAATGATTTGATTTTAAATTTGCTCTGATTTGTTACATAAAGACCCAAAAGGACGAAAGAACAATCTATATCAAACGGTTTTCACATGAATTAAAGGAGTCATACAAACCCTAAATGAAGTACTTCCTCACTTATTTCTTTCTAATAAAATTCCAGGACTTTCCAAAAGAACCTCCTGTCTTAAATTAGCCTTCTGCTGTTTGATCCAATGTACTCCATTCCTTCTTAAACCAAGTATTTCTATCAGTCATTTCTGCACATCATCCTCTACCCTACTGAAACTCATCAAGTTTACACCTTCCTGTAAAGGACAGTCCCCAAAAGGCACAGATGAAGAGAAGTAGCAAACACTTCACCTAGTAAGACACGCCCAACAAAACACAGAGAACCTCAGGATATAATCTTGGATAAACTGCTACTAGATTATCTTAATGATTATTGGAGCATAATAAGAGCACATGGCATAGACACTGGGTTAAAAAAAAAAGTTGGGGGGACTAAATATAGGAAAAGGAAGAACTGAGAAGGCTGGCTCTTGAAAGCTTTGTCTATAAGTAGTTTTTAACGTTTCAAAGCTCTCCTAAACTCCGCACTACCTTAAGTACTCTAACCCTAAAAACAAGTAAAAACAACAGGCTACTGTATATACAGTATAGCAAACAAAAGGAACAATGACATTAACTACTTCTGCTCTTCCTGGCTCTCTTCCCATCGCTGGCCGCAGAGCTGACCATTTTTCCAGTCTAGGATTTCATCAGGGTAAATGTGGCTGCTATATGATATGCTGTTTTTCACCTTTTTAGAAACAGATTTGGCTGGGCTCCATTTTCATTTTCAGTTCCACTAACTTTAGGAACCCCGAAGTAAAATGAGAATCTTTTCTGCTATGCAATTTATCATAAGTACACAGGCTGTTTAAAAAAAAAAATAATAACCAGGTCCAGCAATGAGGCAAGTTTTTGAACAATGGCTGCCAAACTTTGCATTGAATTTTTTCAGAGCTTTGTTGTCCACAGCTAGTAAATAAATCACAGATTAACTATTAACATTTGAAAATTTTATAATTTATGATTTGGAAAATAGTCACATCATTGTGGAGTTTTCCTGTAAGACTTGAAAAACTGAAAACTCTTCCTGTTTAAGAAATATTTTTTCCCTTCAAAAGAGAGTACTCTCTCTAACATCCCTAAAAAATTAAAATAAATTTAAGAAACAAACTGCATTTTTGGTGATTTCATTCATGCATTTGACAAAAACAGTCATCTTAGATGTAATGTAGCTGAATAAATTTCATTGAAATAAACTTTTAAAAACAAATCTATTGAAACATTTACCATTTGAAGAGATGTCAGAAAGATGTAAAAGAGTTTAGGAAGTTGCACATATGCCTTGACCTAGATAGAAAGGCTGTGAGGGAAATGCTGTTAGTTTCAGGATAAAAAACTTATCGATTGTATGGATTGCCTTGGCAACTGGATCTTTTGCCTATTTTTACATCTACTCAATTCCAAGAAAAACAACAGAACAATAAAGAAAAATCAGCTGAAGCTAAGGAACATGTCTCCATTGGCTCTGCAAAGGAGGGGATTTTGGGGTTGATTGTGCCTAAATGTGTATAGGAGTTGATGTGTCTTTAAGGAAGACCCAGAGTGTGAACCTCAACTACACTGGGAGGAAGGAAAAAGAACTGTGAAAGAGTGAATGAGAAAGTTTAAGAGTCCCCACTCCTCCAGGAAGTGTGTCTGTTAGTTGGTATTAGGTAAGCATAAAAAGCTACTCTCAAAAAAGGCTAACAATTCTCAACACATTAATGTATCTCAAGACTTGATGGTGAAGTCGCCAAGATTTATTGCTCCTATTCCTTCACTTCCCATTCTCCTCATCCACAGAGAGTATGGATGGCAAGAGGTACACACTTGCTGTATTTGTCTGTGCCACTATTCTGCTGCATTCTGATTAACAACGAATAATAATTATTAGTTTCCAATTTCTTTCATAACAAACTGTTATAAACTTGCCAACTTAGAACAACAACCATTCATTTTAATTTTCATTCATTTAAAATTACCCATTCATTTAAAATTTTCTAGGGCAACATTCTCCACTGGTCCCTTCTGGAACCCCTGGTTAGGGTCTTACAAGACCTAAATCATGGCACTATATTGCTGAACCCTTATGGAAAATCTCTGGGGAAGATTCACTTCCAAGTTGTTTCAGGTGACTGACAGGCACCACGTCCTTCAGAGTAGATTTCCTCATTGGGTTGAGAGGCCATCTGCATTCCTCCATCACCCAGCAGTTGATTCCCAGCACTCTGACTCTGCCTTCTGCTTGTCTCAAAGGGCTCATGCTATCACCTTAGGCCTACCCAGATAAAATCAGCTGATGTTAGCTTTAATTATGTCTACAAAGTCCTTTTATTACATAAGGTAAATAACCACAGGCATAATGAGAGATGATAATGATTACAGTCAAAATTCTACCTGCTGCTGTCCAGTCTCTGGCCTCATGATTCATGTCACTCCCATATGAAAATATATTCACTCCACCCATGCATGATCCCCAAAGGTCTTATCTCATTATAGTATCAAGTCAAAATCCAAAAAATCTCATCTAAATCTCATTATCGCAAACCTCATAAATCTTATTATCTAAATTATCTAAGTGGTTTGGCTCTGGATGTAATCCACTTATGATATGAATGGAATTCTCACTATAATCCATTCAACTAATTAAATACATTACCCGATCCTCATGTACAGCACAATACATGTTATAAGAATGGAGATCCTCCCATCCAAGTACTAACCAGGTGCATTCAGGGTGGTATGGCCATAGACTACTTTGAAAAAAAGAGACACTGCAATACCCAGTGCTGATCCAGTAGTGTCATGATGTGAAATCCAGCAATACTAGTATTCTTTGTTTAGAGTGGTTTTAGCCTGCTTTGGTTTGTTTAATCTGAACATACATGAAGATATGGGTAACTGCGTGTATGTTTAAGTGTATAGAATTGTTAACCATATTAGTAAGTGTTGTCAAATAGTTGAACAGAACTGTTTGCAGTCTCACTGTTTGAATTTCCACTTTGTATGCTTCACTTTTGTAACTTGAACAACTATTTGTAAGAGGACAATACGTAATTATCAACTAGCAATTTCTTACTATTTATTTTTTCTTTGAAATTATGTATTATTTCTACCCTTTTTCTGTTTTGTTTATTCTCTTTGAATGAAAAAAAGAAAAGAATGGGAATCTAGCCAGGGATGGTGGCACACATTTGTAATCTTAGCATTCTGGTTGGCTGAGGCAGGAGGATTGTAAATGCAATTTAGTGAGACTGTATCTCAAAATAAAAAATTGAAAAGGGAGCTGGGGATACAGTTTCGTGTTAAAACCTTGGGTTCAATCGCCTGTACTAAGGATTTAAAAAAGAATGGAATCTGTAGTGTTTGACTGATTGTGTCTTGACACATTTAGAAGCTTAAATGAATAGGTTTAGCAATTTTACACCCTAAGGTATAGAAGACCCACCCTAGGCTGGCTGGTCTCTTAGATGGTATAAAAGGGAAGGAGGAAGGACAATGAGGTTCCGCTCTTCGGAGGAGCTCCAGTCTTCACCTTCAGGTTGGATGTCATCGTCTCCTGGTTTCCAGTGCAGACTCTTCGGCTTCTGCCTTGGATCCTTCAGACTTCAGCATAGATTATTCAGCCTTTTGTCGCAGTCCTAGGCATTCTGGTGTAGACTTGCATGAGACACTGTAGTGAACTCTAGACCTGGGATTGAATCCTTCGGCCTCTGGCTTGCAGACACCCTCCCTCTGTACCCTTCCTCATCCAACTCAGGCTGACTACTGCAAGTCAATATTCTTATCCATTTGTATACACTGTGTTATAAAACCCTGACTAATGCAAAATCTTAAAACCCTGCTTTTGTCCATGATTTCTTGCAGGTTTAGCTTTAAATTACTTTCAAATTTTAATTTCAGCCCTGCTGTCATCCTCTAGGTCTTAGGGGGGTTGGTAAAAATGACTTACTCATTCCCTCTTCCTGTCAAACTAAGTTCTTATTCCCTCTCCTCGTGATTGGCCCTGTTGATGGCCCCTACAAACAGACTTCTTTGAGCTAATCTTAGTTTTCCTAAAAGATATGTCTTCAAAAAAGCAGGAAGTGCAAGGTAACTGAATCACAATCACATAATTTCTGTGCTACCAAAAGCACACTCAATGACCATGAATGTTGAAAAAGATCTCAAAGACTGCACAGCTATCACATTATTTCTTTTATGCTTCTCTACCAAGCCTGCATTTAGCAACATCATCCTTTTGTCCCTTAGAGTTATTCCCTGGGAAAGAATTATCACTATGGAATGCAGAGGATTCTTAGCATGCTACTCTCTTGCCATAGGTTTCCACCCACCATCAAGTTCTTCAAGAACCCAAATAACATAGTCAAGAAAAAAGTGTTCATAAAACATGTATAAATATCTTTCGCAGACATTTAGTATTTCACTAATTAACATACAATTGTTATAAGTTAAGGTCAACATTTGTATATTCTCAACATACGAACGTATGAATCTTATTGGTCAAAATTTATAGCTGAAATCACTCAGGTTAAAAAACAAAAAACAAAATAAAACAAAAAACACTGTTCCAGGAGCCAGGGGTATAACTCAGTGGCATAATGATTGCCTGACAAGGGTGAAGTCCTGAGTTCAATACCTAGTTCAAAAAAAAACATTGTTTTGTGGAATAACACAAATGGAGTAAGAAAACATGTCCAGGAAGACCCATGTCAAAATGGTGCCCCTCAATGCTGATCTTGGGAATTCAGTATTACATATTTTTTTAAGACTCAGTATATGGAACAAAAGCTGTGTTTTTCCCTTTTTTAAGGCAAAGATTCAAAATTCATCAAAATAGAGCAGTAGTTGAAAAATCAGCATGTTTATTTCTATTTCTAAAAATACACAAAGTAAATTATTAATGATAACATACATGAACCTTTGTAATCTTAGGTTCCATTACACATAGTGTATAAGGTGCCTTTAAAACACATAAGGACTGGTTAAAAACTACTGACATGCTTCAAATAATGGTACCCCAAACTGCCTTTAATGAGATACTACAAGGGAAAACTAGCTCACAGCTAAAGGTGAGTCTAAGATGACAGTAAACCCAGACATATATGCTACATGATACCTCCCAAGTTCTCAGAATTCTATTATGATTTATGTTACCTATAAACACATATTCATCGTCTATACACTGACAAGCAAGGCTCTCTAACTCAAACTGAAGTGTTTACACTTTCACCTGTTAAAAATACAAGTACATACATATAAATTCAGTATGTACAGCTTTATTATACACCTCCTTTACCTGAGGTAAAGGAGACATTTGCAAATCCAAGTGAAAGACACCATATATAAAAATCAATATGAAATTTGAACCACACGTTTCACATAACTTCCATATTTCATCCATTCGCTACTTAATTGTAAGACTTCAGTCATGCATATGCTTGCCATAGTGCCACAATGAATTCAAATCACATATATTAAACAATCTTTCCTTATTTCCAACATCATCTCCTATTTAGGACAATTTTTTCACCAACATTACTATCATTTTCCAAAACCATAGCAAAATCTGTCATCACATATTAATCGTTCATCTAATCCATTTATCCCTCTACTTTTCTTTCCTGTGAAAACTTTCCTACCTACTTTACTTTTGTTGATATCTAATTCATCCTTTATCTCCCTGCCATATTACCCACTACGCTGTCTGGAAATTTCCTCCATACCTTTTTACTATGCCAGTCCTGCTGAACTCCCATTATTTACTGTCTGTGCAAGTAATCTTGCCTTCACAGAACATTACTGTTATTTATCTTTGATCAAGGGTCTACTCTCCAATTAAACTTCAACTGTTGCATCAAACATTGACACAGCAGCTGGGCTGGGAACTGGGAATATAAAAATAACTAAGACATGATCTTTGGCCTTTACACTAAGGAAGACAGGCATGAAAGTGGAAAGTGAAACAGCCTTGTATATATGCTATGCAAAGTGGCTACATAAGATGTAGACGTGAAATGATCAGAAAAGGGTCCCAGAGGAAAGCACACCTGAATCTTGCATGATAAGTAGGTGACACATAGAAGTGCTGGGTGAAAAGAGTAGAGAACCGCAGAGTAGACAGTGAGAGTTGATCAAAGGCAACCTGCTGAAATTTCAGTACCCAGACAAGAGATTGTACTGTCTCTCACAATGACTGCAATGATAAAATTTAGCAAATCACTACAAATAATTATTTAACTAAATCTGTCAGTTTTCTAAAATCCAATGAAACATTTACAACCTTTGAAACATGCTGATCTGCATGTCTCTGCATATTCAGTAAAAACACTGAATCCTAAATCAAATTTAAATACTACTACCTCGGGGGCTGGGGATTTAGCTCAGCGGCATAGCGCCTGCCTTGCAAGCAGGCAGTCGTTAGTTGGATCCCTGGTACCGATAAAAAGGAAAAAGACAAACAAACAAAAAATACCACTACCTCCTCTGGAGCCATAATTGTATTTCCTTGACCTTATAACATAAGGTTCAAAGGCTTAGAATAATAATTTCAACGAAGCAATAACATGGAAGCATTCGATCTTAGGCTTTACAATTTGATGTGTTAATATCCATGTCCAAAAAGTGACAATCTTATTCATAGCACTGGCAGAGTGAGAACTAACATTATCACTGTTAACCATGATCATTGTTACAGGACTAAACGTTAATGGATTGGAACATTTTCAATATACTAAATTGTAATACTTTCAATACTCTCCCTGAAGTGCTGTGACCATGTAAAAATACTAAAGCTAGTAGGCATTATTCCATGTGACAATGAAATAACCAATCTGATTACATCCCCAAATTCTGTTCCAACTTATCTCACACACACATTTTCTCACACATAAGGATCAACAATTGAACCTCAGATGCTTCACCATTTTGAGAAAAATAAGCATTTGTTTCCAACCAACAGAACTTTCTTTTTCATTGAATATCAATAAGAAACTCAAATTGTCAAATGTTTGTCTTCTTCACATATGATGTCAAGCAAACTGCTGCAATTGTCTTTATCTCCTGCTTAAATTTTAACTGGCCATACTAGAAGCATGTGTATATTAACACTCTTTCCAAATAAATGCCACTTCAGTCAATCCTTGTGCAAGAAATACAATGTAGGCTGTTATGTGAGGAGCTGTCCATCTGATGAGCATTTTCCCTCAAGGCCAAAAATCCTTTCTACGTTACTTTTTCTTTTAAATTTGCCTTGATAAAATTCGTGTCTATTATCCATTACTTGTAGGTAGATTGGTAAAATTTCAAATATTGCATTTTCTTGACTAATAGCTAACTCTATCCATGCTCATTTTTTCACAATGACTCTCAAGAAACTTTGAGTCCCTCTCTAGATATCTGATAGTAAATTTCACAAGTTTTGCTTGAAAGCTTAAAATTGAAAATGACTGTGTGTGAGAAATTTTGAAATCGAAACTCCAAGTGGTCCTGATTTAAGAACAGTCACTATCTACCAACAAAAACACGGCTGCTCCACCCTATTGAAAATGTGGTTTTACTGATCTTTGTTTTTCGTCTCTAACTTAAGATTTCTTGACTGATCAGACAAAAACAAAGGGGAAACCTAAATGAACACAAATCAGCTTAAAAATAGCTTCATATTTTTTCACACAGAATACTTATATTTAACCTAAAAAGAATAGAGTAATAGATACTGAAGTGTGTACAGTCCAGTAACATCAACAAAATTTAGATCCAGAAACTATGGGCATTTGTTTTTCATGATGTCGAGGTCACCTTCAAGAATATTTTATCTATTACTGAAAAACCAACAAAATTCTCCCTTATCAGTTGTTTATAGCTGGTTTCCCTCAAAGGCTTTGGCTTACACAGCAAAAATGTATTCAGTTCTATTTCAGGTCACATTAAATGCACATGAAAACTCAGCAACAAACTATTCAGAGATTAATACTTGACATACTTAAGTCTATTATTTTATAATCACATTCACATATATACACATACACAAAAACAGATAAGTAGTTTAGTCTAAAATTAAGTAGTATCATAGCTTAAATGAAAACATACATATATCAACATACACAACAATAGTTGCATGTTATAATTTAAAATTAAGGAGTATTGCAGCTTTAAGGAAAAAGAAAAAGATCACTTTCCCCAAAGAATTGCCTTCCAAACATGGTCTTTCCTTGATGTCTCTCCTTGCTTCTCTCTCACTTTGATTCAGAAATTTCGTCATACTACAAGGAAGTGTATCAACAGGATAACTTCTGGAATAATTATTGGATGAGCTCATTGTGGGCCACTTATTTAGGCTGATTATCATGTCAAGATGCCTACTTTGGAAAACGCATGTACTAGTGATACTTTTGCTACTGTACAAATTGTTAAGGAACCTGGGGGCTGTATTAAGAAGCCAAGAAAATTCAGAGTTATATTAACAGGAAGACAGTGTAAGAGAAAGACAGATTGTAGTAAATCAAAAACAGAGATTGACTGAGGCTACCAAGCAAAAGCCAAACTCCTACGTTTTCTCAGTTCTGAATGGCACAAGAAAATTTGGAGGAATTATTTTACAACTTATTATTATTTCATCTTATATCTCTTTCTAAACTTGTTTTGCTTGCTTCAGACCTGTCCCTCTCTCTTTCAGCATTTCAGATTACCACTCAGCCTCATTCATACCTTTGACTTGTCTGGTGAGGATTCCAGTATCTTCCTTTCTAATCTAATCAGAATCACTTTTTTCTTTCAACTGAAAATATTCATAGCCCCTCTACTGTCCTAACAATATTTTCTCTCTCTTGCAACCATGTGTCAATGTTTCTGGTTATGAAACACTGAATTTTAACCACTGGTGGCTTGTGAATCTATGTGTACCCTAGTGACTCTAGTGAAAGAATCTCTTTATCCTAGTTCACTACATTCAAAAATTTCCAGTCAAACTGGAAGAGTAACAGTTCTGAGATCCAGAATGTAGCTCTGCTTCTTTCCTTCCCTATCTTGAGATCCTGAACAACTAGGTCTCAGGGTCCCATCTGTAGTCAGTTCCCACCCAGCTCCCAAGGTGATGAAGGTGACGTAGAACAAGAACAAAGTACACCACAAACACAAGCAATAAGTAAATGAAAGGGAACATGCAAAACACCTTCTGGAAACTGCCTCCCCAGGAGATGGAAATGGGACGGTGTCCTCACCTCTGGATTCATGGAACTCCAGTGTGACATGAGCATCGAATCCAAGGCTAAAGTAATTATTGAAAACATTCAGAGGGAGCTGCAATGATAAACAGAGACAAAAGTAAAGTTGTGCATATCAAGCTAGGAAGAAAAAAATAAAAGCTGATGCCAGCCACCTATCTCTGAGGTGGTCCCCGAAAGAGGTCAGCCATAGTTCAGAGCTGGCAGTCTATAAGCAAAAGGAACATGGCTCTTGAATTCAGTCATCTGCAAAAGCTAAGATCAAGTTATTATTGCAAGAATTATGAATAGTATAGGAAATAAGGTCTACAAGTATAAACTAATAAATAACTATTCTTGTATATGTTGTAGTAACAGAAACTTGTTACACTGAGTGAAAATTTGTATTAGTGATGAAGAATGATTCATTACATGAATTTAGCAAATTCAATTGTAAAAATCATGTCTAAATGACCTAATCAGTGAATATATTTAGTACACGATTTTATGTTTAGCATATAAATATTATAACCCAAAATAAACAATGTTTAATATATTTACGTATCACCTACTTTTAAATTAAGCTTTTTAAAAAATCCATAAAATATACAAGGCAGTGAAAACCATGAAGCTATTGATGATTTAAAGAAAACAACATTACATATACAAATATATATATAAAATCAGTGGTGCTGAGGTTCCTATTTATCAAACCTATATGTCTATATCTTTGATACTACGATGAAATCTGCAAATAGCCATAAAGACGCACACAGAAGCCTTAACTGTCTTTCTCATAGTCGATTGGATCCATGGCTCTTCCTGCTGCAAGCTACAAAGAACAGAAACAGACAGCCTCAAGTCCCCATTAAAACAGAAAAACGGACATAATTCTAAAGCTTCAGTTCTATGACGCAACAATCATAAAATTATGTTGAAGATGCGACAAAGGAAAGGGGATGATTTCCTCAGTTCTCCTTCTGCAACTCAGAATAGAAGATAAACACTAAATAAAGAATGGTAGTGTTTCCAGCTAACTATCAATTTTTTTTTTAAAGCCAGGCAAATTTAGCAGGGGGGGGGGCGTAGTATACCAACTTTAGTGACACTAATGTTAATAAGTTCTGATAACCCACTGCCATCGGACCAGCCGCTAACTATCAAATTTATGTTCCAAACTGACTGCACCACTATCAGAAGTGTTTGAACTCTTTAACATTTAAAAAATAACTTTATTACAGTTTTATATGCCCTTAATTAGTATGATTTTTGCTTCACAGGAGGGAGAAGTTGTCTCATTAAAGAAAAATAAATGAAAGAACAAGAACAACAGAAAGACTCATGTAGGAGGAAAGATACACACTTGCCTTGATTTCTGAACAAAGTGAGTCAGGCCATACAAGGACACCCCTCTGTCCTAGCCTGTAATCACTCAGTAGATAAATTAGCCTTTTGAAAAGGTTTCACCCAAATGGGGAGAAAGGGAAGAAACTAAACACACAGAACTATGCCAAACTCATGTCTGACTCCCCTGGCTTCATATTTGAAAATGTCCAGTTCCTGCATTAAAATACCATTCCTTAGTAAAGACAGTGTGGTGATCCTGCCAAAAGCACAGGCATGTTTTCCTCATCTACCATTTATGTTCTTTTGGCTACAATTCTAACCTATGCCTTGGCGTTCACTGATAGCTAAGGAAAACATCTGGTCATAATCTCCTAAATAATATTCCAATTTAGGCTGTTTTTACATTATTCATATTTTCCAGGAAAATGTGCCTTACTTGCCTACACATATCCCAAAAAATCCATTTCCAAATACCTTTAATTATCTGAATTGATATTCCCTGGCTGCATCAAGAAGTATTCCATTTCTTAAGTTGTTGAAAAGAAAATTAAATAAGGATTTCTGTTATAGGCCAAACCACTCCAAGCTGAGTAAGAGAAGGACCTTAAATTTTCCCTGTGGTACTCTTTTTTCTTACTTCAGCTGTTTTCTATCCAATTTCTACAAGTTCAACCAAACACATTAGCTAAAAGTATCACATCCTTTGTTGTTAAACAGTATTGTTACATTACTGAATCAAGTTCATCCAAGCAATTGGGATACTTAGTGAAGACTATTCATTTTAGGGTCACAATTTAGGCAAAAAAACAATGAAGACAAAGTAAAACCAAATGGCTTTGCCACTGAGAAACTTGAGCTTCTATGACAATTGGTCAGGAATAAATGGGTCTTGGTTTGGTCTAAAATAACCTGGAGTTCAATCTATTTTAAGGCTGAAACATACATTTTTGAGTTATTGAAGACTGATATAGACTTCACCCTAACCTGTATCTCCAGCCCTTTTTAAATGTTTAAACATTTTGACACTTTTTTGCTAAGTTGCTCAAACTGAACAGAGGTTGAGCTTGCAATCTTCCTGCCTCACCCTCCACAATCTTGTCCACAATCAGTGGCACGGTTCAACATAGCAAAGATGTTGCTTAATGTATGGATATCTGGCCCTTATTTTTGCATTTTCTTAATGAGAAGGTCTAGAGCTTTATATCTGCATTTTAACAAGTACATCCAGAAATTCTTATGTGTATCAACATCTGATAACAACAGAAAAAAAAGTAGAAAATATGAAGAAAGTGTCTACCCAGTGACCTACTAAATGTATCAGAAGCTGAAGCCAGAACTTAGAATCAAATGGTCATTTACAATGTGATTCTTTGGTTTGATTTGGTTTTTAGTGGGGTGAAATAAAAGCCCAGTCACTAAGAGAAAATACTAAAGCAAAACATTTATTTAGACACATTGAACAATGTAATGAACCTGACTTAGGTAAGATTTCCTATGCTTAAATGATATTTAATAGCGGGCTGGAAATCTCAGGAGGCATCTTTCTACTGAAGATCATATATCCAAATCTTCTGAGCATACATTCTGCATGTTCTCATAGGTTCTTTAATTAACTTGAAAAAAAATTTTTTTAAATGGATACATGGCTTTCTAGTGTAGAAGCTTTCTATTGTGGAAAAGATAGCTCTCTAAGTGCTAGCGCTTAGTATGAATTTTGCATGTTTAAAAGCCTATGGAGTAGGATCAGTGGGCAGTGTGCTATTATTATCTCTTACCGTAGGGCTGGAAGGCATAAACTCAAAAAGCTTTCCTGTTAACTTCTGGAGAGGAACTAGCATGCTACCCTACAAACAGACATGCATTTCCTGGGGCCCCAGGGAATGCTTCTAAGCTCCACTTTGCTGAAGAAAAGACTTTTCTAACCTTACATACACCATCTTCCAGTTCTTCTGGAGGCAAGTCTGGGTTTCTTTCCACATGCAGGTTCCAGCGATCGAGCTGTACAATTGTACCATCTTCTACTTGGCATAGGATCTTAGAAACAGGTTCATCAGTGTAACCCTGGCAACAAAATCAGAAAGCATACCCATTGTTGTCAGGAGTAGAAAGCCATGTAACAATGGTAGAAGAGGCCTGCTGTGATTAGTTCTACATAGTTTGTAATCAGAAAGGCTAGGAAAGTGGACTGCTCTCCTTAAGTCACTTTAGAACTTAAGACAACATCCACATACACAAAACATGAGTTCTGGTTGGTTGGAGCTAAGAGACTATTTTGGCCAGCACTGGGAAACCAATAGCCACTGGTGAGCACTGAGGCTGATGGTGGATGGCTTCTTTTACTAGAGTTAAAAACAGAACTCTTCATACATTTTACTGAAGAAATGTGAGTGATAAATGGAATAAATGTATGTGGCAAGGGAAAATCAAGCAAGGCATGATCTGATCAGCAGCTTTCTCCTATTAATTTCCATTTGACTTGCTCTTCCTTGACCTTATCTTAGGACCCCATCCCTCCATGACCTGAGACAGATCAAACTGTGGACCACTGCTGCTAGAAAGTTACTTACTACTTGAGGTTCTACTACTTACAGCATGATTATTAAGGACAGTCAGTTGTTGATTTAGTTGTGAGAAATAAGCACTGCTAATACCTTGGTTACTTCACATACATATGTTAGTTAATATTCTGCCTACCTAACATAAAACAAAACAAAAACCTGTGAAAGTTATGTTCACTCAAAGGTCAGATTAATATACTCTATGCACCTGAAAAAGTTTCATGAAAGAGATCCCAGGGAAGGCAATGTTCTAAGCTGATAAAAAGGGGAAAATTCTGTATGATACTGTCTCATACCTTCTTCTAGAAAATGAGTGAAATAGCTAGCTATAGGTAAGGTGCATCTCGCACACCTGCTTGCAGTTGGCACACAGTGAAGTCAGGGACTCAAATAGTAAGGCTGTAACAATACTCTTCAGAAAAACCCAACATCTAAAAAAAAAAGTCATAATGCTCATAAAGAACAGGTTGGAAATCTAAACCAGATGTATTATTCTGGCCAGAGCTAAAGGTCAGGGTGAATTCAAATTTGTAAGATTATTTTACACAAAGTTTGGAACCAGCCCATCCACTGTGTTCTGGTAAATGATGATGCCTTGAGGTCCCAGGCCTGTGAACTAAGTACAAACTTCTCTTATACTTGGTTTTCTCTTTGCCTCCCAATGCTTGTACTGAACAAGCAATGTAATAAAATTAAGGGCATTTTGATTCTCATTTCTAACTTATTCCTTGGATAGCAGCAGCAGGCTGTTTCCATGGGGCTAATGTGAGCACATCCAACACCAGGACACTGTTCACTGATGGCAGGCTTAACCTGGGAGAAGTTCTTACCCCTCCCCAGTTGAGAGTTCGAGCCAAGTCATTCCCTGTACCCAGAGGAAGAACTCCCACAGGAGGCTGGGGACTCAGCTGCAGTTCATCCAGGATGGAAAGAATCCAGCCCACCTACAGGCATATCAGGGACCAGAATAGAGAAAATAAACAAAAGTGAGTTACAAAGACGGAAAGTTGAGAAGAAGAGTCTACGAAGAGATAAACAGAATAGTTTCATTTTTCTTTGAATCGTTTATTTTAATCTAGTAGGTGGGAGACAGAAAGGTTAACTCTCATGGGCACTTTCAAAATGGAAGGCTCATACTAGGAAAAGGAAAATTCTGTACTTGCTTGATCCTATAAGCAAAACTAGACCTATTCATCTATGTATTTAGTAAGAAATGTACCTTAAAGTTTATGAGAATTTAGAAATTAAGGAGGTAATATAAAAGGGTACAAGCGACAATAAAGGACTCAGAATTAGACTGAATTTTAATTTTGTGTCATATGGGTTGTGTAACCTTGATTAAATTATTTTAAATCACTAAGATTTATTTACCTGATTTGCAAATGGTATAATAATACCTACTTCCAGGTTTGTTTGCAGATTAAACTAAAATGTATATAAAATGAAGCCTGTTAACATGGTCCATGGCTTGTAAGCACTTATTAAGAGGTTAGTCTCTATTCACCATCTTGGAAATTAGTAGTGTTTTTCTGAGTATGCCTATACTTTAATGAAACATTATAAGAATATAATTATGGATATACCTACTACCTATTGTACATTTAGGGAGAAAATAGATACTTACATAGTAGAATCAGATATCTTATTTAATTTTTTTCTCAGATAAATAATATTTTGGACATCTTCTTGTAAACTATTTAGAAAAATTACTCAAAAGCTAGAAATAGCATTTTTTTACCATGTCTTTGAAGCATAGTGTTTCGCAGGCCTACCTAAGATTTTTATAATTGTACATTAGTAGTAGAAATGCAAATAGAAGAAAAGTTTACTCTGAAAGAAGGGAATGAAGCTGACATTTTAAAATGGAAGGGTATCTTGTATTCCTGGATAGGCACAACCAATATTGTCACTGAGATCCATTAACAATGGCCATCACCAAGAACTCAAAGAACAACAAGTGAAGGCAAGATTATGGGGATGTAAACAGGTATAAAAACTATGGAAATCAGTATGGAGATTTTTCAAAAACTAAAAATAGAAGTTCTTTTCAATCCAGCTATACATCTTCTAGTTATATTCTTGAAAGAATTAAAAACATCATATTACAGTAATAAATGCATACCTGTATTTATAGCAATACAGTTTACAATAGCTAAAACTTGATAGTGGCCCATCAACACATGTTGATAGAGAAAATGTGGCACATAAACAAAATGGAGCACTACTAAGCACAAACAAGGGTGAATTTTAGTCATTTATAGGACAATTAATACACCTTGAAATCATAATGCTAAGTGAAACAAATCAGATGCAATTGATTAAATATTGAATGGTTTCTCTTACATGAGAAACATCTACAGTATAAATTATTTTTGAAGTAAAAGACAGATAATAAACAGGAAGATAATTGTAAAGATGGAAAGGGACCTGGGGATGGAGGATAGTGGGAGGGCAGTCATTCTGAATACAGAGCAGGAGAGGAAACCCACAAACGGGAATATAGAGTGGAATAAGCAAAAAGGATCAAAATCTGATGCAGATATGTATCAGTTATGTAACACAAACAAATTAATAGAAAAATAGAAGATCACTTTAAAAGTTGTACTTTTAATTTCTATTAGACATCAATTTTGTCTCATGTTTATGAAGATATTCTGACATAAAGTACATAATTCTTTTTCTCTACTTTTCTCTGATAAATCAGCTTTCTCATCCTCCTTGTTCCCTCATTTAAGTGCCAAGAAAATTTTTCATTTGTATTCATTTCATATTTGTATGACGATCACTTTTAAAATAATATTTTAATAGCACACCTAGTAAAAATGATCACTTATAAACCACAAAACTAAGCAAATAAAATAGAGATAAATGAGTTTAAAAATGATAATGTACTATGGCTTGTATTCAACAGTTTAGAGTAATAAAAAGATTATATTATTGATTGTTTTCTAGATACTATGCCTAATCAAAGTCTTTTTAATGAATTACCTCACAAAACCTGAAAATAACCACTGGATCATTGTAATTTTCATCTCTACTTTATAAATAAGCAAACTGAGACTTGAAAGGTTAAGTGAACTCTTAACATCTTATGGTTTCCCAGCAGAACAGGTATTCAAACGTTGGTATGACCAGCTCCTTACCACTACATTCAGTAAATATCTAAACTCAATTCCTGATTGGGCCTGATGAACCTGGAGGCAGTGACATGTAACTTTGGAGTCTTTGAAGCTGGAGAAATCTTAGAAATTGCTGAATGAAATTTAGTTAGCTTACAGATTTATTTATTCAGGTACAAAGAAATCCTGTAATTTTCTCAAGTCTTTCTAAGTGGCAGAGTCAAACACTATTTGACTTTCTGACTTCCATCTAAAATACTTCTTCCTCCACGGTGACTCCCTCCCAGGATTACAACTTGCCACCAGTGAATGATGTCTAAAGTTATGTGCATCTTCTGATATGGCACAAAATAAAGTATCCTAAAAATATGGATCTATAAAAATATCAACAAGTCCATACATTCCCCTAAACAGAGCAATTTTCTCCAACAAAAAGCTTAGATTTTGACCTAGGATTTCTTTAGCACCTCTTTTATACACAGAGCCACTAAGGCTTGATGTTTAGGAAAAAGAAACAAACAAGAGCAGATGCCAAATTAATTCCAATGACTGTATCAGACACTGTTCTTTTGCTGCTAGAAGTATAAGCTAAACACAATGGAAATGGAGATTTTTAATAAACTATAAGAAAGGATTATAGAGCCTTAAAAGGGTATAAACATTCCGAAAGCCCAGCACTCTGAGATCAAGGCAGCAGACACAAGCACCCATGAGTTAGAACTAGACTCACAGATAGGAAATTAAATTTAGCAGAAATCTAATTCAGCATCTTGTCCAGAGAAGAAAAAAGAAGGCCTTCTCTTTAAAACTTGTGTGAGGTGATCATTCAATACACCATTTTTGATTTGCACTCACATTAGCCCATTTTATTTCATGTAGATTTAAATTAGAAACGTTAAATTTTATATTCAGCAGAAATATGTCACCTTCTTTGTAAAGATACTATATTACTGTGTGTTTCCACTTTCAACACCCATTTTTCTGTAGACATGTCAATGATAAAGGACTAAGACAGGAGGGGGAGGAGAAGGAGGGAAGAAAAAAGCAAAAAAGGGAAAGAAAAGGAAAGGAAAGGAAACGAAAAGGAGAAAAAGGCAAAGGTAAAGCTGGGATAAACACTTGGAGTAGCCTGGATCCTGGTCCTGGAAGGAGGAGAGGAAGCAGAGAAGTTTGGTTTCCATTGACAGTGAGGAAGAAAAATGTACTCCGCCCCCACCCCTCCCCCCCGACAGGAGACTATACACCACAGTGTTCCTCTGGGCAGGAAGATGAAATGTAACAAAACCATGAATAACTGACATAGGAGAGGGGGTGTGGCTTAGGCTGAGTGGAAAAGGAGTTGAGGGGAATCACAAGGTCTACATAGCTCTGCCTCTCAGGACTCCATATCTACAATTTTGAGTTTCCACCAGATGTACACAACATAAAAGACCAGGACAAAAGATGCCCACTATATTGACTCTTTCACAGCAGCACCTGCCTCTGTCTGCCAGAGCTAGTATTTACTTTTATTTTTGCTTTTCTCTTTTATTCTTTCTTCAGCCAAAGTTTGCTCTTCAGAACCAATTGCTCCCTTACTTTTCAATTAAACTTTTGGTACCATTTTTGGCCTATCTTGTTCAATTCTTTGTGCAAGGTGAGAAGGACCAGATTACGTGTAATCAGTGAGCTATCCATAAAGGATTTACCCAGTAACATAACCACTGTCCTGGAAAGTAGAGACATGCCATGGCTGGAAGAAGCCAACAAAGCTTCTCTAGTAAATGCTTGAGCTGATTTCTCAAAGGACTGAGGTATGAGTCAAAACTCAAGGCCTATTAAACTAAGGCAAGGTGAGATAAGACTCCAGGGAAGGCAAGACCTGACTGAACCTGCTGGTGACAAGGAGGCTAGCAAACAGCAGTGGCAAACACCAACACACCTGCAGTAGTGCACATCCTCTCCCCTTTGTCTGCCTTAAACAATTTTTAGAATCAGGCACCTCCTTGCTGTTTCTCTACCCTCATCCACTTATAGCTATCTTCTATTCTCTCTAATAAACCACACCCTGCCAGCTCCTACTACTTGCTGTTTTTTTTTGGGGGGAGTTGGGTTTTTTTTTTTTTGCTTGTTTGTTAGCTGGGTTTTGTTTTGTTTTGCATCCTTTTTTGGTACCTCAGAATAAGAATGAAGAAGGAAAGCCGCTTAGAGGATTGCTGGTGTTCCCCCTTTCCCCAGCTCCTCCTATGGTGGGAGCCTCAGTCACCTAACAGAAAGTGCAACTTTAATCTGAAAGTTCTAGAAACAATCCCAAACTACCAGAAAGTGGTAGTGAAATGACAGAGACAGAAAAGTAGAAATCAGACAACTCCCTCTGAAGATAAGCTAGCAAAGGAAGATTTTAAATCCCTCATAATGCTAATACTAAAAAAGATGGCAAAGTGGATTCATTTATTGCCTATGAAAGGCAAGTCATTTCCAAGTGACTTTGAAAAAGTGCTCTATAACTTGTGCAAGTTGAGGATGTGTCTGCTCAAAGTCATTGTGGGTACCAGTGTTCTGTCCTTATTCAGACCTGTTTATTACAGTTTGTTTTCTCATAGAAGGTATCAAGAGCTCTGGTAATACTGCACTACAGTTCCACAACAGCCCGCAGGAACGTGGACTTCTCACCTTCTTCCCTCCTCTGCCAATGCAGAAAAGATAAAAGTATAATTGACTTGAACAAAAAGGTGTTTCTGCTTTACAAATTGGATAGATATATATTCTATCTCCATGTCACAGTAGCCAGGTGATCAAATATTCAGTTTCTCCCTGAGTACAAGCAGATAGCTTGTATTTCATCA